CCTCGCTGCCGCATTTATTATAGACTGTAACTGGGAGAGTTGGGAACACATAAGACCACTGGATTACAGTAGTCAAGGCGAGAGAGGACAGCGGCATGGACAAGCACCTTAGCCGTATCAGGCATTAAATAGGATACGTCCTTTACTAGTTGTGCTTTATATATGTCCAAATCACTTAACTACGAATGCCCTCTTAAAAGTTTGCAATGACATCCAAATTGGCATGGAACAAGGAAACTTAAGTGGAGCTATTTTCCTTGCTTTTGCCAAGACCTTTGACACTGTAGAACAGGCTTACCCAAACTCCCATGATTCTCAGCCTATCTATTTCATTCATATAATCATGGCATTCTTTAGCAAAAAACATGAAAACTCAGGTCTTGGTGATCGTCCGCTAACCTGGTTTCATTAATATGTATATGACCTATTGCAATATGTGACCATTTCTGCTAGCGCCTCCATCCCTCTTCCAGTCACATGTGGTGTTCCCCAAGGCTCCATACTCAGTCCCCTGCTATTCATTAATGTCTGCAAATCCTCAACTGTACACATGTATGCAGATGACACTGTAATCTATGCTAGTACACCTAATCTACCGCAGCCTGAGCTGTGCTCCAAAACCAATTCACAGAGGTAGAAAAGTGGAGAGCGGTTAAAAAAAAACACTTCCTAAACACTGACAAAACTGTCACAATGATCTTTGGAACTGTACCTAAATTACGTAAACTTAAAAATCAACAACTATGTATCAAAGCGAATTCAAAAATCACACTGACAGTAGTATGTTCTTTTGTTGCTAGACCCCAATCTATCCTTTGGCCTTCACATTGAACAAATCTCTTCAAAACATTACCCAAAACTATGTTCCCTGTACAGAAACAAATCCTGCCTAAGCTCTACAGTAAGGAAACAAATAGTGCAACGAATGCTACATTGCAAATCCACCTTAATAAACTTAATACGTTATATAATTTGTTCTGCAGCTTTGTACTAGAATATAATTACTTTACCCATCATTGTGACATGTTAAAAGAGATTGTTTCAGGGCCCACAAAAAAACCATGTGCCCCAACAAGATGTTCCCTAAACAATGACAATCAACAATAAAGGTTGGCATTCTGCATCGCTACTTGGCTGACCATCCCTCTTGTCATCTCACTCAATTTCTACGTGAAGGTTTTACTTCAGGGTTTCATACAGGTATAGTGTCCCTTCCAACTGGCACAGTAGAATGTCCTAACCTACAGTCAGCTACAAACTATCCCACTACTGTACGGCTACTGCTGTATAAAGAATATTCCAACAGCTTTATGATAGGCCCCTTCAATGAACCTCCTTTTGCATGCTGGAGGACTAGTCCTCTCACCATACCGGAAAGTTCAATAATAAGATAAGATTGATCATCGACTTCTTGGCACCACATGTCAGCACTACTCCCATTTTAAATTCAATAATTCCCTTTAGGTGGATTCTCATTGCAATACTCGAAAATTGATGATGCCATTAAAGCTATGACGGAGCTCCCTGTAGCCTGACTGGGTTTCTCCGCCAAGGACAGCTTCCTAGCTAGAGCAGGGGAAAAACCTTAGCGCCTCAGCACTTCTGCCCTAGTCGCCGTGGTTTGACTGGGGTCCTGGAGCCTCTCCATCCTGAAGCAGGCTAGAGGACTAGCTCTATCCACTCCCAGGGACTGGATGACACATGGTCCTGGGAGCTCTAGTCCTTACAAGGATTTTCCCCGCTGAATCCTCCACGCTGGAATAAACTGGAGCAGGGATTAGCCCTTTCCCCTCCCAGTAACTAGACAACACATAGTTCTGGGAGTACAACTGGAATATATTTTAATGGGACATGGTACAGCCAACTTGCACACAGACCCCCAGCAAGGGGTCTCCATACAATCACACAAACTCTAGTCGGTCCTCTCACACCTCACCCCTCTGCCAGTCCTTTCTTCGACTTCCTATATCCCATAGATATCAATTCAAAGTGCTAACCCATACCTATAAAGCACTGGACAATTCTAGCCCCTCTTATATCTCTTCTCAGATCCATAGGTACGCCCCTTCTCGGTCTGTCTGTGACCTTCTCCTGTCCTTTGCTCGCACCCATACGGCCAACTCACGATTGCAGGACTTCTCGCGGGCGGCTCCCTTCATATGGAATAGCCTGCCTACCGCCATCAGACTCTACCCTAGTCTTGTATCTTTTAAGAAGTGCCTTAAAACTCATCACTTTAGGAAAGCTTATGGCCTCCCAGAGTAACCTCTACCTCACATACCTGTCTCTTGGTTTCTCCCAAAGGGCAGCACTCTATTCTCTCCTCCAGCTCTGCTTCGGTCCCACCTAATTGATTGCTATTTCCTGTCCTAATGTGTTTTATACCCCACCTCCTATAGACTGTAAGCTCGTTTGAGCAGGGTCCTCTTTAACCTATCGTTCCTGTAAGTTTTCTTGTAATTGTCCTATTTATAGTTAAATCCCCCTTTTAAATTATATTGTAAAGAGCTGCGTATTCTGTTGGTGTTATATAAATGGCAATAATATTAATAATAATGAAGTTTGTTGTGGACCTTAATATAATGAATAATAAAATAGAATCTATTGTTGCTTTCACAACTTTTTGCCATATTTCATTAAAATTGGCTTACAATACCATCAAACTGTATTTAACTGGTATTCAACATTACCTACTAACATCTTATCCAAGTCATAATCACTTTCTAAGGACATACCCAGTGAAGAGCATTCTTAAAGGTATTAAATGCTTTCAGCGCCATAAATCCCCCAAATAATTTCCTATAGATAGTAAGATTTTCCGAGCAATCTCACATTTGCTGGACACTAACCCTTTTGAATACCACACGACAATCATTACTAAAGCAACCACATACTTGGCATTTTACGGGTTCTTAAGACCAAAATAATTTACGGTTGCCATATCTACAGACAACATGCCTTAGAAATTGTGATCTAGTTAAAATAGAAGATCACTTCTCCCTATCTATTAAACAGTCTAAAGCCAACAAAATAGGGCACCCTACAAACATTCCATTGTACCTAAGATAAATTGTATCCAATCAAGGCATTTGAAATCAATGACCATTCATGTTATATATTAGGATGTTGTTCGTTACATTAGGCTTAAACCCAGGATCTATGGAGCAGCCACTTCAGCATCAAATCACAACACACCCACTCATGTCGTCAAAAAGCATGGGTAGATGAAAATCATCAGCATACAGTAGGTATATCCTTAACCCTGAAAAAGAAGTTAAATCAGCATTTTACAACATAGCACTGTAATTGTGAATTGTAATTATGTGTTTAATAAACTTGCATTCTTAAACTTTTGTCCTCTTTTATTACAGGACCAACCACTTGTCGGTTTCGGCACAACGCAACTGACTTGTTTCCTATTCACACTATAATCATATTATATATGACTTTAAAGATAACATACACAAATAGAAGACATGAGCCTGGAATTGTGTGAGGGGTTTTATGGCATTTACAACACCCTACCCTTACCTGCAGCCGTATTTTTTAAGTGTCCCTCCCACCTCTTCCCCTCAATTACAACTGGTGTGCCCTATTTATAACAGGCCTAACCACTTGTTGGTTTTGGCACACCACAACCTACTTGTTCATGCAATTGTTTCCTATTCACACTATAATTATACAGCTTTAAACTTCCCAGACACAACTGGGTGCATACCTGCTTCTCATTGCCGTCCCTTACTTTTGCAACTAAAAATAAGACTGAAACCAAAAATAGATATTGTTTATAGTCTTCGTCACACTATCCAATAAAAAATCTATTTGTTCTAATTTTAAATCAGATGTATTTTTTAAAAAATACCTCCCTACTGTGAGGCCTTTTGTATATGGAATACATGTATATAAAGAGATAATGTTATATATTAAAATATAATGTGGCTCCCATCTTATGATATTCAACATTTTCAAAACATCCCTTGAGTATTTTAAATAGGATTGTGTTTTTATAACCAAAGATCAACATATTGTGATACATGAGCAGAAATCAAATTTATACCGGAGACCATTGAGTTTCACGTCTAATGGCCAGAGCTTTGTTAAACCCTTCATAACTTGATATGCCTGGCAAAATCCTGAGAAGGCCAATATGTGTAATTTAGTTTAAATTTTGTATTAAACAGAGGGGTGTGGCTTGGAGGTCAGAGGGTGCTTGCTGCTCAGCACAAACCCTCCTGTGGATGTGATTGACCATGACCGGCCTTTGACCCCAAAAGCAATTACCAGGTTTCCATGTGTATGATTGCTGCTCGGCACAACTTTTCCTGTCAGGACGGTAATGCTGCTCAGCACAACTTTTCCTGTCAGGACAGTAAATGCCATTAACCACATTTTTATGTGCGGATGAATACGTGACAAGTGTGGGTATGTCTGCCTCTGACGTGGCTCTGTGGGTGACCCAATTATGAGTGATCAACAGAACCCTTGACATCCCCCAGTGGTAGGGTATGCCCGCTGCTCTCAGGTGGCTTGTAAGGTGGTGCATTGATTTTCGCCAGAGCAGTGTGGCTTAAGAGCAGTGTTAAGACCTGAAAGAAGTGCAATTGAGAATTTTTAAATGCCAAGGGGGTCTTGCCTCTCACCGCCTTCAGTATACTATTTTTATCTTGTGTTGTGTCACAGCGCAGGATGACATCCCGAGCTTCTGTGGGTGGTGAGTTGGGCCCTGCTGGTAAGCGGTTTATGCCGTTTAGAGTTTTTTTCCGGGCTACTGTTGGAGGCAGGATGGAGGCTGATAGTTACCTGAGGAAATGTGTCAGTTCATCTGGGGCGATCACTGCAGCTACCTCGCAGAGCTTAATATGGTTGCGGCGCATCTGATCTTCTTGAGTGGACACCTGCACTGCGAGCGCCCGGTGGACTGCTTGTAGAGTTTTCAGTGTGTCCATGAAAGTGGACATATTGCTGGTTAGTGTGAGAACTTCCCTCTCCATCCCACTCACTCATTCGGTGGTCTGGCAAACATCTGTCTTCCGGGTGCCGATGTCGGCGTGGAGCATTTTCTGGAGTTCCTGCATCCATTGTTGGAAGTCTTGTTTTGTTGCGAGTGTATTATCCCGTGTTACTCTGATGGCTGAGAGCATGGTATCGTGCTCACCCTCTGCCTGTTGCGCCAGTGAGTGTACTTGCGGTGAAGGCCGCATCGGCGCGGTTAAGGCCTTCGCGGTGGCCATCTTGGGTGTTGCTTGTCGTTGTAACAGCACTCTGATATCCGGCTGTTCAGTTGATGAGCCCGACTGCAGCTTTTGTGTGTGGCGCCTAATTGCTGTGGAGGTGTCGCTAGGTGTCCAGACATTGTCCCCCTCAGTGTCAGGGTCGTCGTACATCTGGGTGTGTCCAAGGAGGATCTCCAGGCTGTGGATGGCCAGCAGGAGGTAGGCCCTGCTCTTGCATTTAGCCTTTCTGGATCTTGGGGTTGACAGAAAAGCATCTATCTGCTCCTCTTTATGTCCCCGGTCGGTTTACGTGCCGAGTCTGTCCAGAAGGTAGATAAGTTACGAGATATTTGTGGATTGTGTGTAACGAGGATGGGAGCCGACATAGATGGCGTCTGTTCAGCTTTGGTCCCAAGCCCCACCCTCCGACATTGCGCTTTATTTGTACACTAAATCTCCTTTTCTTTTTTCTGTAATGTATACTTATTTGTCTGAAGAAAAGAAAAAAATTACAATAAATAAATCTGTACGAATGGATATCAACTCTTGTTTGTGTGTATGATTGTCCTGTTTTCAGCAGTTGAATATCATTAAGTATATTCAGTAGCTGATCTCAGGTTCCTAACTGTAATTGACATTTCAAAGGGCTACTGTGCCTAGAACCTTACAACCATACCTCTTTATGCTCTTTCCACTTGAGTGTTAGGATTTATGCTTAATCTACATTGCCTACATCTTTGCAGACGAGGCATAAACTTCGAAATGGACCCTCAAAATGGTCTTAGGATCTGCATTCTATAATAAGTCCTAGCTGAAGAGTAGGTTGAAACAAGTCAGGAACAGACCTCTTAGAGAACCAATGAGTAACCAAACGGATTTGTAAAAGAAGTGACTCAACCAATTGTGTTGCTTTAATAGCTTTGTATAAGAGTATTTATTATAGCCTATAAAACACTTTACTGTAGGTGTAGCCACTTCAGTCTTGCAGTCAGCCTTCTACTAAAAAACTAAAAAAACAGCAAAGATTTCCAGGGGAGGAGGATAAGTGGGTGTTAAAGGTCTCTGCTGATCTGCCCAAGAGGCTGCAATATGGGCCCACCCAGAGCAAAACTGGCTCCCATCCTTGGCCATACGGTGCCCATGACATCAGACAGAGACACTTACCCTATCTGACAGTGCCATTTCTGGGAGCTCCACTACTGTCTTCTCCTGGTCATAAGCCACGCCCCCATTAATTGCCAGATTGGGCAGCATCAATAGTGTGGCTGCAACTATGTACAAAGCCCAGCAACACACCTTGTACTTGTGTGCCCCAGCACCAATCAATACTCTGTAATGCCCCTATCCAGGGCCAGATTAACATAGGGGCTGATGGAGCTGCAGCTCCAGGCCCAGGCCCAGGCCCATGGAATAGTCCCATTGATAATAAAAAAAATTTTTTTAAACACTACTCTTCGGATTGCCAGGTATTTCTCATGTATTTCTTATGGTTGTCATGTATTTCTCAAAAGTATTTCTCAGGTATTTGAGGCTGCCTAGCCGGTGCCGGTATTGCAGTAATACCAGCAATACAAATGTTTGTCTCAGTATAAACAGAGATTATTCTGCAATACCAGCGCCGGCCAGTAGGGGTCGCTGTTTGTGTGGAGAGAGGCAGGGATAAGAAGTTACATCATCTCCCTCTCTTCCTTTCTCTACACAATGATCCGCGGGGGAGCAGCTATGCACAGAGAGTCCAGACAGCAGCTCTGAGCCTGCGAGACATGGGGACGGTGAGAGACTTGGGGACGCTGAGACATTGGGACACTGGGAGACATAGGGACACTGGGGAACATGGGGATCCTAAGACACTAGGGACACAGTGGCCCCATGTCTCCCAGTGGCCCCATGTCTCCCAGTGGCCCCTAGTCTCTAAGTGTCCCCATGTCTCCCAGCCAGTGTCCCTCATGTCTCAGTGTCCCCATGTCTCTCAGTGTCCCCATGTCTCTCAGTGTCCCTAGTGTCTGTGTCCCTAGTCTCCCAGAGTGCCCTAGTCTCTCCCAATGTCTCAGTGTCCCAATGTCTCTTAGTGTCCTCTAGTGTCATCGGAACACTTTGAGACATGGGGACATAGACTCTAAGGGTCACTGGGAGACATGGGGATACAAATACTAGGCAACACTGGGTGACATGGGGACACTGGGACACTAGGGGACACTGAGAGACATGGGGACACTGAGAGACATTGGGACACTGAAAGACACAGGGATACATGGGGCACTCCCATTGTCCCCATGTCTCCCAGCCAGTGTCCCTAGTATCTCAATATCCCAACGTCTCCCAGTGTCCCCAGTGTCTCTCAATGTCCGTAGTGTGTCAGTGTCCATAGTGTCTCAGTGTTTCCTTGTGTCCCCATGTGCCATGTCTCCTAGTGTTTCAGTGTCCCCTAGTATAGAAGAAAAAATCTCAGGCACTCACTGTGATAGATTTAAGCAGGTTTATTGGACACCGCAACGTTTCGACCTGTACCCAGGTCTTTATTAAGTCTCCAGTGTCCCCTATGTATCACAGTGTCCCCTATGTATCATAGTGTCTCAGTGCTCCATGTCTCCCAGTGTCCCTGGTGTCTCTCAGTGTCCATAGTGTCTCAGTGTCCTTAGTGTCTCAGTGTCCCCTAGTCTCTCAGAATCCCCTAGTCTCCCAGTGCCCCCATGTCTCACAGTGCCACCAAGTGTCTCAGTGTCCCCTAGTATAAAATTAAAAAATCTCAGGCACTCACTGTGATAGATTTAAGCAGGTTTATTGGACACTGCAATGTTTTGACCTGTACCCAGGTCTTTATCAAGTCTACAGTGTCCCCTATGTATCAGTGCCCCATGTCTCCCAGTGTCCTCTCGTGTCTCAAAGTCACCCAGTCAGGGGCGTACCTAGAGCATTTGGCACCCGGGGCGGATCCTGTGCTTGGCACCCCCCTCACCCAAAAAAAAAAACCTGTAAAAAATGTTAAAGGTTTTCTTTCTTTTTTTTTACAATTTGTAAACTAACGCCAGTGCTGCAGTGCCGCCGTGTTTACATTAAAAGGCCTGCAGGGACAGGCTATAGACACCAGAACCACTACATTAAGCTGAAGTGGTTCTGGGGACTATAGTGCTTCTTTAATGTGAGGTAAATTAGAGCTTAGTGCCACGAATAATATACTAGATTGCCTACTTACAACCAGATGAGGATGATGATGGGCTCTAGCTGCAGTCTGGCTCCACTGGTCTGGTGCAGAACAGGCTCTCTGGAGGCGGTTTGTAACTGTGGTCACAAAAATCAATGTTCTGGGAGAACGGGAAGCAGCTCCATTTTTTGGGGGGTCCTTTACACAGCTCAAGGTCTGGGTCCCAGGGTCCACCTTCATGTTCCACCAGTTTGTTCACAGGGGGTGGAGTGTGTAAGGGATGTGCTGATATGTGTGTAAGGAATGCATTGTGTGAAATTGTGTTTGTATGTGTAAGGGCTGCAAGGTGTGTTTCTGTGTATGTATGGGATGCATTGAATGTGTGTAAGGGGTGCATTGAGTGTGTGTAATGAATGCATTGTGTGTTTCTGTGTGTGTAATTGGTGTAACGGTTGTGCTTGTGTATGTAATATTGTGTGTTTTTCTGTGTGCAAGGGGTGCATTGTGTGCATGTGATGAATGTCAATCTCTCCTCCCGCTCCAATTTCCTTCTCCTCCTCCCAATTTCTCTTTCTCACCCCCCTCCTAATTTCTCTTTCTCCCCTCCTAATATCTCTTCCCCCTCCTAATTTCTCTATCCCCCTCCTAATTTCAATTTCTCTCCCCCCCTAATTTCTCTTTCCCCCCTCCTAATATCTCTCCCTCCCTCCTAATTTCTCTTCCCCCCCTCCTAATTTCTCTTCCCCTCTA